TCGATAGAAACACCTAAATCTCTCTCTCCGTTTGCCTCATCCAATTTAACATCGCCGAACGTGTCGAGAGACCTACCGTTGTTTCGACCGACGTGGAGAACTTTACACTTACTTTTATGTCCTCATGAGCCAAGAAATGACCTCATGAACCATTTCCTGCTCCACTCGTCTAAAAGACTTAAATCTCGCTCGTCTCGAGTCCTATCCGCCACCCGCTTTATGGTATAACCTATCTTTGTGTCGTCGGCAAATTTACTTATCTTACCCTCTACGTCGAGATCCAAATCATTTATGTAGACCAAAAACAGAAGTGGTCCAAGGACCGAGCATTGAGGGACACCGCTTGCGACTCCGACCTCCTTCGACGCTTCCCCATTTATCATCACCCGTTGCTCTCGTCCTGCCAACCAACTACTGATCCACTCACTCATCCTACCCTGGATCCCTGGACAGGTCTGTTTTACTTGGATTTTTTCAGTCAAGACTGAACAAATCCTGGAATGATTTGAGATTGGCATTTCCTCGTTTATGCGTGCTCGAGACTTCTACGGACCCTACCTTCTATTTGTGGTGTTGCAATTCCTCGTTTAGGATGGGATATCACTCCATTGGAGTGAAGGCCCTTGGAGTAAGCTTAGGACATGTTGGGTTTTGCTCCATGTGGTACACACATTCTGCGACCGGTTCAGGGGAACACAGCTGCAGCCTCATGCTTTGTGAACCTATCCTAGGTTTAGAAACCACTTTTGAGGAACTTTTGAAGATGACATATATATTGTTTTGTTTTGGAGTCTGGATAACACCACAAAAGTAATTTAGAACACAAGCAAGAGCTTCTCCAGTTCTTGCTATACACTGAGGGTGCCCATCAGAGATTAACTGGAATGGCAAAGAGAGAAAAACACAAAAAAAAGAAAAAAAGAAGGATGCATGAGAAGTATCTCAAATTCCTATACTATTCTCTCATGCTCCTTGCTGTGCTTTTGATTCAGCAGACTTTGAACTGGATCCTTTGAACAATTAAAAGCTGGATATTGCGAATTTATTTATTAAAAACTAAACCCTTTAAATCCTGGATGACATGTTCCAATAGCTAGAACATTTCATAATAGAATTGTGAGTTTAGGTACTTAAAAACATCTTATCAAGTATGGCATTTGCATACATACTTTTTTCCCTATTCATATAGGGAAAAAAGGTTCGATTGCCTACTCTTTTGCAAAGGTTTTCAATGATTGTTGGAGTGCTTAAAGGCCAAGAGAGAGAGAGAGAGTAAAAGTTTACATTAACCATGGCAGCCAAATAAGTACAGGGTGTCCATAAAGTCCCTATCTATTTTCATGAAAATCAATGATTTTCCTTAGCATTTCATGTTCAATTATGAAAATGGGTCAAATTACACACTTAAGCATTGTTTCATCAAGAAGCACTACATTATCAATTTTTATGAAAAATGATAAGTTTCATTTAAATTTCAGTTTTACTCGACTGACCAGTTTTGCAATAATGAAAAGGTGGACAGAAAACTCAATAACTCAGCATGCTAACAGTGCCAGAGAGGGTAAAATTTGGTTTCCTGAGTGGTGAATGGGCTGAGGCTATCACAGGCCATTGGTCACTGGAACTGACACCAATGGAAATTTTTGTGGGTATTCATCAAGTTGCTGGTTTACAGAAGCAAGGTTCACCACTCAAAGGATTGTACAGCCACAATTTACACTACAGTTGAATCCATAACACAGACAATGTTGCCCAACACATTCAAGGCTACCCACCATTGGCAATAATGACGAGCTGTGCCAAGATATAAGATGGACATGTGGAGATGAACCAGTGCTTCTTGATGAAACAATGCTTAAGTGATTTTAAGTTTATTCATTTCAAAAATTGAACCTGAAATGTAAAGGAAATTCATTGTCTTTCATTAAAATAGATAGACTCTATGGACATCATGTATATGCCAAAGGTAAAAAATGTTTGGACCGGATCGGCTTACAGTTTTTTTCTTTGAACTTTGAATTATCACTTGATTCATTAATATTTACATGGTTTCCAAGAGAGTTACCAGCTCCACTCATACATGAGTATTTTAAGTAATATTTTAAAATCAAAACATTGCTTTAAACATTGCCTTTGAACTTCAATTGTTTTCTTGACCAGATCATTGCACTTGATGGCCAAGTTTACAGAGAGTAACGGCTATCATTATTATTTAAGAAAATAGGAGAACCTTGTGCATAGGCCTGCCCTTGGAGAGGGACAGACTGGCTTTTTTTCAGGATCAACTGTTGTAAGTGTTAGTCAAAGGCCTTGCAACTCTGGCCATGTAAGAAGTCAAAGACCCTCCATTACAAAACAGAATTGAGAAGTCACATCCCAAAAAGCAAAGAAATGAGTGTAAGGGGTAAGGCTTTACTGCTACACCATTTATTTTTTATATATTTGTTTATAGTTGCTGTGCTGGGGAACACACTAGTAGAATTTTTGCAATGCATAAGGGGTTAGTGGAAAGGCATGAGGCGTTAAATACTATGCTTGGTCATACCTTCCCTGAGAGGTTTCTTTATCAGACCTTATGTAATGGTGGTGAGGTGAGTTTTTTTTTGGATCCAGGGTGTGTGAACTTTGAACACGGTATGCCACAACTGGCATTTCAAGGATCTTTAGATCCATGAGAAAATTTGAGCCACTAACGATGCAGAATATATTTAGTAATTAATGAAGAAAATAAAAATGCCTGTATCAAATAACTCAGGATTCAACCCTTTCAGTTCCAAACTGTATAAATGATGCAAAAACAAATGTTCTTCATTCAACCATCCACAGTGAGATGTCATTGACCACAAAAAATACAAATTTCAAAAGAGGTCACAATGATTCAGAAGTTCCTCCTGACCTCAAGATTGTGCTTTCCTATATAGCACTGCAAAATACATTAGAGGTGCCTTAAAAGTTTCCGCAAACATCCAATACAAACGAAACCATTGTTTACCAAAGCAATCGAAAAAATTTGGTACACAGAAACTACGCCCACTCTCTCCTCAAAATAATGACTTCGAATCTGTTCACTTCCACCATCTGGAGGACAACGATAGTATACGCATTCTGTAGAAACCTGTGTCTTGCTTTAGCTGATGTTCAAAATCGAGCTTGAGTGGATATTGCCTTCTACCTCGTTCATGCTCGAAATTCTGCGCACCGATCACAACGATTTCCCTACGGTTGGAAGGTCTCTTAGTTTTCCCTGATTTAGGATATAATCCATGACGACTCACGAAGGAGTTTCGATTGGGCGATCGAGGAAAGATGGAAGGGATCGTCCCGTCCGTTACCTCTCCACCACGCAGGTTTTTTTTTGGAATGGTGTATTTGCATGGTGGTGCAAACACAACAGTGTAAGAATGGTCTGTCATGTGTAAATCTCCCATATAGCATTGCGCGGCTGGAAGAAGCTGCGCTGCAATAACTGCAGCCCCCGCGGCTCGCAAAGGAGCCTTGCTAACGGTCACAGTGATGAGAGAGACTCATCGAAGTATTAGAGCAGGGCCGGCCTTAGGCATGTGCCACACGTGCCCCGGCACAGGGCGCAAATTCACCAGGGGCGCCAAAACATGACTGAAAGTATGACGTAATAATTGATGCAACCCGCAGTTTTTACTTCAGAAAGTGGAAATACATTCATGGATATACCTTCCACTTCGGACGCTAAGGATTGACCCTTTCTTCTTCGGGGGGAGGCGTTGGGAGTCTCCTTGCACAGGGCGCCGAGATAGCTAGGCCAGCCCTGTACTGAAGAATGACCCGGAAGGGTGAATCTAATCAGATTAGTTCAGGGTGGCTCCCAATAGAGGCTGCATTGTGCTTCCCGAGCATCGTTTTACTCCTTCGCGAGGATGAACGTAAATGTACGTCAAGCCCTAACTACCCCCAAACAACGATGTCGTGATGATACGTCTTTTGAAATTTAGCACCAGAATACAGTGAAAACTCGTTAACTCGAACCTTTAGGGACCGGGCAAATCGTTTCGAGTTATCAGGAATCGCCCCCCCCCCCAAAAAAAAAAAATCACGTTTAGGAACATAATCAGAGGGCGATTTTTCCGCCCTCAGAAGTCCCATTT